AAGGAGAAAGTCACTGCTGTCCAAAAAGAACATTGCTGCCCGTCTGCAGTTTGCTAAAGATCATGTGGACAAGCCAGAGGGCTATTGGAGAAATGTTTTGTGGACCGATGAGACCAAAATAGAACTTTTTGGTTTAAATGAGCAGCGTTATGTTTGGAGAAAAGAAAACACTGCATTCCATTATGGAGAAACTTATCCCATCTATGAAACATGGTGGTGGTAGTATCATGGTTTGGGCCTGTTTTGCTGCATCTGGTCCAGGACAGCTTGCTATCATTGATTGAACAATGAATTCAGAATTAAACCTGCAAATTCTAAAGGAAAATGTCAGGACATCTGTCCATGAACTGAATCTCAAGAGAAAGTGGGTCATGCAGCAAGACAACGACCCCAAGAAAATAAGTCATTTTACCGAAGAATGGTTAAAGAAGAACAATGTTAATGTTTTGGAATGACAGAGTCAAAGTCTGGACCTTAATCCAGTTGAAATGTTGTGGAAGGAGCTAACTGTGCAAGCAGTTCAGAGTTGAAGTGGTTCTGTACTGAGAAAGGGGCTAGAATTCCCACTGTGAAGGCGTGTTCGAACAAGCTGTTTTAGGTAGGTGTGGCTGACTCTTAACTTTTATAAAGAATATCTCTTTGGATTTGAGACTTTAGTCTTTGCAACTTTACAGATCTCCTTTATGCACCAAGAGCTTGTAACACTCCAAAGAGAAAATAAAAAAATGAAATTGCATCATATGACCCCTTTAAAAGAAACATTTACCTGCAGTTATTGCTGCAAAAATGGGTCACACCAGATACTGAAAGCAAAGATTCACATACAGATATGTAACACTAGATAATTTTTCTCAAATAAATAATAAAAGAAAATATTTGTGTTGATTGGGTTCTCTGTCTACTTTCAGGACTGATCTGAGGACTTTGGCTACCAAAATCTGATGATGTTTTGGGTCATATTTATGCAGAAATATAGAAAATTCTAAAGGGTTCACAAACTTTCAAGCAGCACTGTATGAAAGAATATTTTATATGCATATTTTAGAGACAAAGTGGTTACATGGTTTGTCATTATCAATTTAAAATGCTCAATGGATTTTAATATTTGAATGCATAATTGTTGAACCAGCTATACAACTGTTGAAAATCATAAATTGTTTATTTGAATGACCTTTTCTGTGCAATGCTTGTTATGTAACAAATTAAATAACTCAATCTCTGTAGAGGAAGGAGAGGTGTTTGTTTGGGGTTTTGGAATCCTGGGAAGAGGCCCGAAACTTTCCGAGTCTGCTATCCCAGAAAGACTGCCAGCCACGTTTTTTGGGAGGTCAGAGTCCAACCCTACAGTGAAGGTCTCATCCATCCGCTGTGGACTCAATCACTTTGCAGCCATCACAGGTGATCTACAGTAAAAATGTTATTACTTTGCATGTACATTCACTCAAGATTAAATGTTGTTGTATTGACTATGATTATGAGATTCTCCTGAAGTGATTTTAAATGTGCTCTCATGCAGGATACTGTTAATGTTCTTTCTCCTGAAAACACAAATGCTTGCATAACCATGGTGGTATTAAATCCAGTCAGTTTCCTGGCTAACATCCATGTAAATAGAAGGCCGAGTTATTTGCTACATGAATATTGTTTTCAGATCGAGGTGAGCTGTTTGTTTGGGGTAAGAATATGAGAGGATGTCTTGGCATTGGAAAACATGACCAGTATTTTCCATGGAGGGTAAGAAACCAAAAACTTTGCATTCTTTCTTTTAACATGAAAAAGTGTAGATTGCAGAGCTTGGGCTGCCAATTGATTTTTTGACAAATAATTACATAAAACGGTGTTTAATTATTCTAATGAATCACAGCTAATCACAAAGATCAAAATTTGCTTAGAAAAGCTCCCAACAAACAATTTCAACTCGTTGCATTAGGCGAAAACATTGAATAGACAAAAAAATGTATACTTTGTTAATTGGAATAAATTAACATGTTAAATTAACAGAACTATATGCAGTAGACATTAGTTGTTCATCTGTTTTCTTTATGCTAATGCTCGTCATGTTTTAGGTGACAGTGCCAGGCCACGTGACGGACGTTGCCCGTGGTGTTGACCACATGGTGGCGCTGGTCAGATCAATCATATGAGACTGTCAAGGCAAATTCATACTATTATTTCAGGCACTTCAGCGAACACCATCAGAATGCCACGTTTAATTATTTCTGCAGAACCTTTGGACTTGTTACAGGCCCTCACTAAAGAGTCTTCATGTCACACTGCATCAAGCCAAGGCTGTGCTTAAGGTAACAAGGAAATGCGACACCTCCTCTGCGGTTGGCAGTGTTGACCTCAAAAATAGACATGAGTCTAACTGCTAAATAACTCAAGACCTCTTAATGAGTCTTATGTTGGCTACTTTTGAAAGTTTGCTCTAAATGATACATTGTCATCACCTGAGGTGGACACCGTGTGTTCAAAGAGACATTATCTGTGCTGTTTCAATATCTGCTTTTCTTGTTAAAAATCACACTGGATTGTCAATAGGCTAAAAATTGTATCTGAAAACTGTACAGCTACATGAAAAGTATATTTAAATTAAAATACATCTGGCTTTACTGTGCTGTAGCAGAGGTTTTTGGCAAAGCACTACCCATCTTTTTAAAACGGTTACAATTTTTGTGTAATGAATTATCTTTCTATGCATTTGTGATTACTGAATAAGAAACAACAAATAACCTGTATGTGACCCTGGACCACAAAACCAGTCTTAAGTTGCACGGGTATATTTGTAGCAATAGCCAACAATACATTGTCAAAATTATCGATTTTTATTTTTATGCCAAAAATCATTAGGATATTAAGTAAAGATCATGTTCCATGAAGATATTTGGTAAATTTCCTACTGTAAATATCAAAACTTCATTTTTGATTAGTAATATGCATTGCTAAGAACTTCATTTGGAGAGGTTTAAAGGTGATTTTCTTAATATTTAGATTTTTTGTACCCCAAGGTTCCAGATTTCCAAATATTGTCCTCTCCTAACAAACCATACATCAATGGAACGCATATATAATCAGCTTTCAGATGATATATAAATTTCATTAAAAAAAAAGGACCCTTATGACAAGTCCAGGGTCATATAGAATATATGGATCACATATATTATACAATTATTAAACTTTGATTCATACCTTTGCTAAATAATTGTCTCGAAAGAACAATGACTGTGGCTTGCCAGTTTTGTTAATTGAGCAATTACTAGAGGATTAAATATTTTAGAGCATAACTGATTAAAAAAAAATATATATAATATATTCTAAAGGATGGTTGTTTTCCAGACTTGAAAACATCATTTATATTATATATAAATTCATTGCTTTCAGGTGGCTGCAAAAATGTATAAATATAAAGGTGAAGCAACTTATAACGGATCATTTTAAAAGTATGTTTTTGGAGGCCTTAAATGAAGACATGCAAAAACAGACTTGGTCTAAGCCACTTCAGGGACAGAAAATATAATATTATATTGAAACTCTTGTATCCTTCAGAATCAAGTATATGCTATATTTGTACCAAACTGTATTGATAGATCACATAAGATTATAGTACCAATTATAAAGCAGTATACATTCTGAGGGAAAAGGGAATAGTTGAAAGTCACCCTCTTTAATGTGCAAATATAAAGGGACAGTTTCTAACCTACACAAAGTAGGTCAAAGAAGAAAACAAAAAAAAAAGAGGTAAAAAAAAAAAGTAATCAAGTCACGAACTTTTCTGGTGTCTAAGCTGGTTTAATCAATTTCTCCAAATCAATCATTTGTATGGGTAGTTAGAAGTAGCTTCAGCAAATATCATCCCACAGAAATCATTTGTAAATCACAGATGAGACTAAATCTCTTCATATACTTGTCTAGATAACAAATCTTCAATTGGCACATGGTCTAGCAGTCGCATGGTGTAAACCCCCACTGTACGCTTAAGAAAACATGGTTCAAACAGTGAGAAAAAAAAAGAAAAAAAGAGTAACAATTGAAAATCAAATCTAAGCTGTAAAAATATATTGTTTCATGTATTTAATTGTCAGAGAACAAACAGGTCACCCCTTCTTAACACTGATAAATATATGGTTTCTACAAATTTCTGCTTAGGAGCTGATAGAAGAAAAGCTTGTGGAAAAAAGACACCCATACCATACTTTTGTAAAGAGCAACAAGTGACCCCTTCAAAGGGGAAGATACTCATC